TTCTTAAAAAACGAGAGCTACAAATTTTTTCTTTCCACAACAAATTTACAACAAAAACACTACAATTAATGCCGTAGTTAACTTTTCCAAATTCGAAAAGTGTAGTGCTAACTTGACACACGTCAATAAAAGCAACTTAAAACTTGCACTTTATTACACTAAAATATAAACGTCTACAAAATTCGAATGAAAAAGTTTGCAATTTAGATGAAACTGCAGTTTTTATAATTTTTGCAGAAAGTTTGAAATTCGGATTCATATGGTTTTTGTTAGATGATTAGCTGTATTTTTATTAAAAAAAATAGTAAACATTAAATATTTTTCCACCACTATATCCATAGATAATTGCTATACAAAATTATTTGTACAAAAAGTAATGTTTTTTGCGAACGCCTTAACCGATTCCAATTGGAGCCAAAATTTATATGTTATATCTTCGACTAAAGTAGTACCGATTTTGGGTATCAGATGAAAAAAAATTTTTTTGGATTTTTTGAGTCTACATTGGGGAATCTGAATCTGCCCCCCTGTGCGGGACACCTTAACCGTCTCCAATCGGGACTAAAAATTATGTGTAATATCTTCGACTATGGTAGCATCGACGTAGGGGTTGAGGCTTAGGAAATCTCATGTAAAAGTTTGCTTGCTACATTTAAGGATCAGCCTAATGTACATATGCTTGCATCCGCTAATAAAATGTACTTAAAATTTTTGCACTTAATTAGCCCGGCTAATTGAATTCAATTAAAAAATATTCTATCGAAACTGTATTCACAAGAAGTATGTTTTTTGCTCGATGATAAGCAGTCGAATGAACTTAGAAAATAGTTAGACATAAAATACTACAGTTTTGGTAATTTTATGCATTTTACTTCTGCCGATATCAAGTTGTGCTCTATATACGAAAAATAGAGTGTACAACAAAATTTGCATAACTTTTCATTTTTCAGCCGAGGCAGTCGATCTTTAAACATAAATATTTGTTTTGTTAACATCTCAATACTTATGTAAGTCGAAATATGGTAATCTAGAACTGCAATAAAGAATTGGTATTAAATTAGCGGTTAATGTGTTGTGAAGGCTAAATCCTGCTTCAGCAAGTTCAGCAGCGCTTACGGGTGTCTGTTTATGGCTATAGTAACACTGAAATAAGCGAAATATTAATGCCAAGTTTGGCGCTTTCCAAAATCTGGAGTTGACGGATGGGGATTGAAATTTAAAACAAAAGGTGCGGCTGAATACTAAAGCCCACTCAAAACTACTTTTGAAAAGGGTTGCTTGGGAAGTCGAATTTAATTAACTTACACCCGCGAAAAGAGATAGCACATCAATATTTTTGCCAGTTTTGGCAATTTTCTTTTGCTTTTTTTAAGGTTCATTATTTTCATATAAAAGAGCAAGTTTGAAGTTGCTAAAAAATCGCGTGGATTTTTGATAATTTTTTTTTTTGCTGACGATATCGCGCATCTTCTTCCATACAAAGTAATTTCTTATATGGAAGGTGTATAACACCGTCAGAAAAAATATTATCAAAAATCAACGCGATTTTTTACCAACTTCAAACTTACAC